TATGTTGCTGAATGATTGGTAGGGTGTTCTAAGTGGGCTTAATGTGTTATGTGGTTGCTAGGGTGTTCATGTTAGTCTGCATGCTGCAAGACATAACATGCTCGTCTGCATTAACAGAAGATTAGGCCAAAAGTGTGTTGTATAACACCCCCTTTAACCCCCTGATGGCTGTTCGAACCTAGAAATTAGAACACATTTCTTTTTAAATGATTTTTTTCAAACAACACATGTAATATTGCTCACTTTTTAGTTAAGCAGTTTTGGAGGGATCTGCAGTGTATTTTGTATTATTTATTTGCCTCAAAATGATTCTTGTTTTTGTATATTTATATAAAATGGGAATATTATATATACAATTCAAGAAGATATGTATTATTATGTATTTATTTATTTTTGTAATTCATGGAGATACAGTCAAACCAAAAATTAATCAGACACCAGAAAAAAAATGTTTTTTTTTTTTTTACTAGTGGGTGCAGGACACTATAGTTCATTTTATGTAAGTGAGGATAGCAAAATAAAGTAAACTGTGACATATTATACCCAAAAATTCTTCATACAGTGGACTACCAGTAAAATAGAAAAAAAATTGGGACCAAAACTTATTCAGACACTTTGACCTGACCATGTTTTTATCAAGATGAATTTGTTCTGACACAGTTTAACTGAGTTCTTGTCATATATTATTACCATTTTCTAAACTATAGCGAATAAACTGTGATAATGTGTGAAATGTTGAAGGTGTCTGAATACATTTCGGTTTGACTGTAATTCATGGAAATGTGCCATGATTAAGTGGAAGATTTGTGCCACCTGCAGGAAAACAAACACTTTTAAAATGAAAAATGACAATTCTTTTAACATTCTTTGCTTTGGGATTTATATTTCGACATTTATGAAATCACTATTTAAAATTCACTTTTTGCCAAAGTTCAGCACTGTTTTATACTGAAGTATGATGTTGCAAGAGTTTTCAAAAAGTCATCGGATCTGCATGAATCACACAAATGACCTTTGAATTAAAAACATGGTTTGCAGGCTGTTAACCATCTCTTCAGTGTCTCTCAAATGTAAATCAAACACCCATTCACAAACATACTTCGATGTTTTTCATGTTTTGAGCAATAGAGATACTCGGAAATGAACTATTAATAACATGAATCACTTTGCCCTTTCAGCCAGTGACATTTAATGTTGATTGACTTCATGACTTACAATGAAAATAATTATAGGTTAAGCTTACCAATATCTTCTTATTTTACTTGAACACTGCTTTCCTCATTTTGATGCACTGTTTTTTTTTGTGTGTTTTTTTTTCTGTTCTGTGCCCCAGAAAGTTTCCCTCCTCTATTCAGTTTGGTCATGTGACTGTGTCTGACTGTAATGTCAAAGGGTGAGTGATTGATATGTACTCCCTTGATAATAAAATACACTTTTGAAATGCAACGCCCCTTGCATATACTGCATACCCCATTTTTGTGCCCCTGGGTTTTGCATGTTGCTATGTGGCTGTTAGGGCACTGACCTTATTCTGCTAGTAGTAGTAGTTGTATTTTTCTAAGGACACATTAAACTGCTGATCATTACAGATCATTATAGAGAACAAAACCATGAATATGTAGTTTACTTGCTTTACCTCACATAAAACTTTGGCAAAACCAGAATAGCCAAAGTGCTGGTTTTATCAAGGTCATATTTTATCAAATATGACCTTGTCTCTAGGCAAACTGATACTCTTGGAATTTGTGTAAAGTTAGCCGGCCTGATTAGAGTGTGTAGTATGCATCAGATGGTCCGTAAACAGACAGACTGTGTTATTATTGAATAGTACAGGAACACATGCATGCCAGTTTTGTTTTGAGAGCATAATACTGACACAGCCAATTAGGTGAAATGCTAATGTACATTCAAGAGTGAAAAAGGCCGGAGATGGAAAAGTTTGCGAATTGCACAACCCATTTTCCAGTGTGAGGTGGGAGACAATGTTTTATGTCAGTTGGCAATTATGTATATGCAATTTAGACTGCATAGAGTTCTGAGAAGAAATTATCTGGATTTCTGAATGATTGGCTCCAAAAATGTGCTCTGAACCCCATCAAAGTTAGTTGTAGCAAACAACATAAAAGACATTTGACAGTGTTTCTGATTCACCCCTACAGTGCCGCACCGTCACTGAACAAATGTCAATTTTGTGAATCTTCACATTGTGGAGGAGGATTTGCCACGGAACACTTTGTTTTCTCCAGAGCACTGTGAACTCCGCTCCAGTGCTGCTGAAGAACATCTGGGTGGCCTTGTGGGACATTTAAAAGGGCGGCAATTATTTCTTGTCCTTTATTTGGAGAGCTTGATGGAAACACTAAGAAGTTCACTCTTTTTCAGTGTTTTTCATTATGTAGATTCATTAACATGCATAAAGCACAAAATGGCCAGATTCTGCTGCAGAAACTTTTTATTTAGTTCTTCTCTGTAATAAATAATCTTGAAAACAAAGGTTATCGGTATTGATGGTGCCATGAGGACCTTTTCACATCCATGGAATCTTGCCATTCTGCGAAAGGTTCTTTATAGTGTAAAAAGATTCTTTAGATGATTAAAATGTTCTTTACGCTAAGAAAAATGGTTCTTTTAAGAACTCTTCACTGAAAGGTTCATTGGGGAACCCAAAATGGTTGTTCTGCGCAAACACCCTTTTGGGATCTTTATGTTTTAAGAGTGTTAATGTCAAGAACTTGTTTTGATCTCTATATTCTTGATAGAGCCTAACATGTTGAAAATAACCAATTAATATCTTTTATTATTTAGTGTGAAAGTTTGCACTAATCTCAAGGTATGTTTACATGACACCAATGTACCAAAAGTTTTTCCTTTGCGTTTTTGAAAAGTTTCGTTTACAGACATGTTTCTGCAAAAATGACTAAAAACGCTGCATTATGCATGCCAGGCCAGTAGTTGGCGATGTCACTTTGTAAAGAAACACTACACACCTGCGCACATACACACACAAGCCTATAGACCAGGGGTGGCGAACTCCGGTCCTGGAGAGCCGCAGCCCTGCAGAGTTCAGCTCCAACCCTAATTAAAACTCACCTGCCTGTAGCTTCCTAGTAACTGTTCAGACCTTGATTAGCTTGTTCAGGTGTTTGATTAGGGTTGAAGCAAAACTCTGCAGGACCGACGTTCGCCACCCCTGCTATAGACTGAACATGTAATATGCATGCGCATGACATCACCGTTTTCACAAATTCGCGTTTTTGTAGTTTATACAGAGATGATAATGGTATCATTTTCAAAAAAAATTAAAATTAAAATTGCACTTTTTCAAAAGTTTGCATTTTTAGGCCCTCAAAACGAAATTGTTGTGTAAATGAATGGCAAAAGTGCATAAAATGTTTTCAATTTTTAGTTGAAAACTTATGTAAATGGCCCCTAAGAGTTTAGCTCTAACCATGATCAGACTTACCCTGTAACTTTCTAGTAATCCTGCAGGCCTTGTTTAGCTTGCTCAGGTGTGATTGATTGGGGTTGGAGCTAAACTCTGCAGGAATATGGACCTTGAGGGCTAGAGTTGGGAGCCGCTGTGTTATGCTGGGTACACACTAAAAGATTTTTAAAATCTTATAAGATCTTCAAAATGTGATAGACCACAAACA